AAAATATATTTAAGATAATCATATTTCTTTGTTAACATATCATGAAAACTATAATGATCATAAATTAATACATAAATTGGATTTTTATTTTATTACATTTATAAACTAAAAAAGTTATTTAGTGATGTGGAAAATAAATTTCAATCAGCCTATAATACAAAAGAAAATATGGGTTAAAATTCCAAGTAACTTCTGAGATTTTAGCCTCAATTTTTTCCATTCAGATATCATTGAAATAGTCTTAAAGACACTGCCTGTACTACAGCAAATCACAGCAAACTCACATGCTGTTCATAGACTGCTTTTTTCAAGAACTCACATTACTGTTTGCCTTTGGTAGGTAAAACCATTGGCTTTTTATTGAGGGTAACTGTAGTATATCAAGATATAATGTACTTATGAATACAGGTATAAAACCCCTTAAATATAATGCCATAAATGCTATACAAAGGTATTTGCCCATCCTTACCTGCTCTGAAAATACCTTCTTAGAAAAATAATGATGCCATGTCTTTGCACCTATATATAAAATTACCCTAGTTGATGAAAATTAACTTGCCCAAGACGATTTTGATGGTATAAAGAAAAAATAAGTAAACCAAAATGTTAAGTATTTGAAATGTTTTCTTTCAGGGAGCTATCCTGCAGGAACAAAAAGACCTTGCTTTACAGAGTGATGATAGTGTCTGCCCAGGTTTTAAGCTTTTTTATATAATGGTGGAAAAGACTGAGGTATAATCTTAGGTAGAAGCCAATGATGGAGGTTTTTCTTACATACGGCAGACTTCTATAACCTTTCACTCATTCAGAAACCTCCTAAAGCTCTTTCTTCCTACTTAAAAGCATGTCCCTCTATTTTCACAGCCTCATTCCAAGGTACATATACCTTCTACATCTTCTGTAAGCAATGGCCATACAATAGAACAGGACACCTCAAGGACTAAATAATAACTAAATCATCCTCTAGGTTGGCCTTAATTGAGATATCAGAAATCTCCTGAGTCATCTGACAGGAAAATGATTCCCTACTTACTGTGTAAATAATCTTACATTGGCAGGTACCTCTTTACATCATCACTATTTTCAATGAAAGAGACTGTAGTTATAGATTAGTTTTTTTTAATATTTGTATCAGATTCAAATCAAGATATATCTCCAGGACAGACTGCTTCTTCTGAATAATCCTTATGGGAATAAAATACTTGAATATTACAAAGTGAATGTAATTAACTGCCAACTGAGATGAATAAAACTATAATGTGAAAAAGAAAAATTTCAAATGAGATGATTAATAATCTATCAGTTATAGATTATGAAATAGTTAGGTAAAGCAAGTAGTATGTAATCCAGGCTGAAGAAGGAAGCAGCCCTAGCCCCTTTAGCCAGCCAGACCCCAGCAGAGTGCAACCTTACACTGACAGTGAAAAAGACCCTTCCCCCAAAATTCTGAAACTCCTAAGAAGGGAATTTGTTCCAAAGCGCCTGTAGTACTTGTCAGGGAAATAATTTTTAAATCTTTATTTATTTATTTTTATTTTTTATGTGTGTGAATTTTTCCCTACACATATTTAAACATGCCTAAGAGTGAAATTCCCTATGAATCCAGAGGAGGGCATTGGTTCCCTGAAACTGGACTTAAGGATGGATGTTAACTTCCATATGGGGGCTGGGAATCAAACCCAAGTTGTCTGTAAGAGCACCAGTGGCCTTAACCACTTAGCCACCGCTTGATTGAGACACTGCAGTTCTTGAAAGCAGTCAATCATAGTTTTTCACTTTCAGTTTGAACAGAGACTTGAGTCTTGAGTATCTGGGAGATGGAGCCATACTCTTCTTCC